ATATTAATAAAGATGGTCAGGAATCTAAAACCCCCCCCCCTTTGGGTCTAGGTCAAGGCATAAAAACTTAGCCTAAGGGTTGATGGTATTTCTATTAAATAATAACAAATAATCCAAATATAGCATCAATATTCCGTTAAGTCACAGTTACAAGTACAACAGATGCACATAAATTCAAATTTATTTGTTGGTAAAGGGGATTAAAATAACGTGGCATCTGAAACACAAAAATTCCAATGAGTGTTGAATTGAAAATTTTGCCATCAATGAAAGAGTTTATTTTCTTTGAAAAATTAGTAATTTGTATATCAAAAAGATGTGTGTCCACAATATTTTATCACACAAAGAAGAGCCTTAACATATGTTGAAGTCCCAATAACAAATAAAGAATGAACACCATAAGAGTTGAAAAAATAAATAAAACGATTTTAACAGCACACGAAGAAGTAATTAAGTTTTTGAAAAAGAATAAAGAAAGTAACACTGAATTTATAGCGGTTCAATTTGATTCCAAGTCTAAGTCTACTCTCAGGTTGGAGTCAAACCAATATCTGGCATTATCATCCCTACTTTCTTTTTTCTTTTTTTTTCTTTTGGTTCTCTCTATTACGATTCAACTATTTTCATTCAATATTTTTTTGGCATCACATGATGATGATGGAGACATTTTAAAATGGATTAAATCCTGTCAGTTTGGACTAACAAATACGAGTCTCAAAATTAACTCGTTTATCCTTGTAATGGGGACGACATCACTTTTACCCCCTATATCTCCATTTATCGAGCATCCTTTAACATCCTATGCTCGCATTAGATAATTTCGTTAACCATAAATTACCTGCCTTGCAATGGTCACTTCCATACCTCGACAACGATTGGATTTGGTCTAAATTGGTTTCTTGTATTCATTCTCTATAGCCTCTCACACTCATGTTCCTACACTATCTTATCAAATAACTTGGAGTGACGCAAAATGATTTAGCAAAAAAGTGGATACTGAATGTTTTGCCACTCTTTCTAGTGGGCCCCAAGAGGTACCACTAGTCTTTGGAAGGGAGAGGACCTACATGTCAATGGTTTCGAGCTAAAGAACAAAAAACATTCTTTCACTAGCTTGTATTTAAGGAAAAAAAATCAAATTGATGGGTCTTCCACTGCCTTTTCATCACAAGATCTCACCTGTCTTCAAAGTGTGCAGTTTATTAACCATGGATGCTAAGTTTCCAAATTTAGTGACTTTCGTGGTAGAGAAGTCCTTCATAATTTTTTTCCTAGATTCCCATTATGCATTCTCTACAATTGCAAGAACACCCCATTACATTATGCCAAACTAAATTTACAAGGAAAATAGACACTGAAGCTCACCAACCTTTGCATAAGTGAGCACTTGGTGCCAAACCTCACATTTTGTAAAAATCCATAAATTTTCTCCAAAAAGTAGATTAACTAATTACATGGTTCCTGCTTGTCGCACGAAACATAGTTTCAAGGGTCAGATACGAGTCACTGTTTTAAGGTAAAATAAGTAAACAAATACAAGCACACTGTCCAATACATGTCAATGTTCAATACTTATCAGAGTGTTTACGTGCTTTACAGTAAACCCTTTGTTTCTCCCCCATCCCCCACACCTGTCCAAGCTATTATTAGAAAGAAAGGTGATAGTAAAAGGGTGTGGGTTGTATGGCGATTAGAACAGAATGGCACCAGGGTAATCTATCATCATGTGTCTTGGTCGTGACATTTTATGGTCTTAAATGGATGAAATCCGATTGCAAGTACCTAAGTGCTACAAAAATGAAAAATGGGGTGTCCAAGTTTGATGAAAAAATTGATTGGGGACTTCTCAATTATAAAGGGTTGAGGTCTCCTGCGCCAATTTCCCAATTACATAAGCTAGAACTTACCAGATCAGCTGGCACCTAAAAGTTGTATTTCAAACATTTCATGCAATGTTAACAGTGGTCAATACTCAATAGTACAACTTTTTGATGGAAGGAGGAGGTAATAGTTGTTTTGGTAATAAAAAAATTTGGGCAAATTTAAAAATGATAAAGTAAAAAAACAGAAGGTTGTATTTGATAGAACCCCAGTTGCTGCTGCCCAACTTCTGGAGTTTAATTGTACTCAATGGATGATCAATTAAAGTCGTGACATTTTATGGTCTTAAATGGATGAAATCCGATTGCAAGTACCTAAGTGCTACAAAAATGAAAAATGGGGTGTCCAAGTTTGATGAAAAAATTGATTGGGGACTTCTCAATTATAAAGGGTTGAGGTCTCCTGCGCCAATTTCCCAATTACATAAGCTAGAACTTACCAGATCAGCTGGCACCTAAAAGTTGTATTTCAAACATTTCATGCAATGTTAACAGTGGTCAATACTCAATAGTACAACTTTTTGATGGAAGGAGGAGGTAATAGTTGTTTTGGTAATAAAAAAATTTGGGCAAATTTAAAAATGATAAAGTAAAAAAACAGAAGGTTGTATTTGATAGAACCCCAGTTGCTGCTGCCCAACTTCTGGAGTTTAATTGTACTCAATGGATGATCAATTAAATTGTTTATACGAATTTTTTTTTTTTTTTTTTGATAGGTAATTGTTTATTGGAATATTGAATGAACGTAAATGACAACAAAGCTCAGGCTATTCGAGAGGCCTGATCTCTCCACTATTTTCTCAGTACTTCACTGCTACCATGAATATCCCAACTCTCCCTTATTACATTTATAGACAATCCACTAGCTTTCTATTACCTTTTTACCCTTTTGCTAACTAACTATGGTACACTCTGGAATAGTTGATGACTTGGCTACAATTTAATTGGATATTTATCATTACTCGCCGCCCCAAAATCCACCTTGTCTTCAAGGTGGAGGCAATCAATTCGTCATACAGCCACAAGATTTCTTTTACAAATACTCCCATCATGGTCACAACGTAGAAGTGAACAGACTTGCTCAATTGCACAAGTATCACAAGTATAGTATTCAAGGCAACTCCATAGCCCATTGCTCCTACCCACAAATTGTCCAATTTTTTATTTCGACTCGCCGAAATAAGTGTATCTGTAGTTGACAGCACAAATTGGTCAGCTGGTTCGGCAGCGATGAAGTGGGTAGCCTCACAGTCAATTAGGACCACCAGCAATTGTCCCAAAATCGACCTCTTGATTTTCATAATCAGACCCAGCACTGAGTCAAATGATAATTCAACCAATTCACATACCTCATTTCCTTCTTTCACTTCTATATTTTCTGATTGCTCATTCCCCTCCTTTTGAACCACCAAGATCTGCAACTCTTTATTGAGATTGTATTTCTCATCACAATAATAGCGCAACCTCTCTCTCTTTTCATCTGAAGATCGGTAAAGGTAAGCTCCTTAAAGTGCAGCCCTTCCTTTCCCATCGTCAGCGAACGGACTATGGTAGCAGGATTTCTGGGGTTCAATTGAGGTGTCGGGTGATTTGCGTGGCCTAGGTATGAGTTAGATGGATTTTGAGAAGCCTGTAGTAATGGGCTATATTATGGGTATGAGTTACAAGAAGGATATAGGTTGTAGCTATCAATTTTAACCTTGTTTGGGCCAAAATTGGATTGGGCTTGCTTCAAGAAGTCCTTCGAGTCTTCTCCCATTTGGGCCAATTCCATAACCAAGCCCACATGATCTTTTACATGAACTCCAGCCTTAATTGTAAGCCCAATTTCTTCCTCTTTCTTCATCATCGTGGTCTCCGTCTCCTCCCTATTCATCCAGATCCACCGGTCGGCCAAATCATTTCCAATAAACACTGGTGTTTTCATTGGTCGACTTCGGTTTTCTACTTTCTCGAACTCCTCATGGTGAATCCTTACAACTTCACATTCTCCTGCCACTTTGAATTTTAATGGAATCTCAGATTCAGCAGTGCGTTCAGCCGGATTGATTGTAAGTTCCTTTTTCTTCCTTTCTTCTTCTTGTTCATCCAATTTCTTCATCATTAAATCCAACTTCTCCATCATTGATGCCATGGTCCTATGAAATTCAAATTTCATGGACTCCATATCTTCTCGTAACTCTGATTGCAGTCCATCCATCCTTATTTTCAAATATTAATCCGATCTTCTAATTGTTTTTCTTCCTCAGATGTACTGTCCCAGGGCAGAATGAATGCTCTGATACCATTTTGATAGAACTCCAATTGCTGCTGCTCAACTTTTGGAGTTTAATTGTACTCAATGGATGATCAATTAAATTGTTTATTGGAATATTGAATGAACATAAATGACAACAAAGCCTCTCTCCACTATTTTCTCAATACTTCACTGCTACCATGAATATCCCAACTCTCCCTTATTAGATTTATAGACAATCCACTAGCTTTCTATTACCCTTTTACCCTTTTGCTAACTAACTATGGAGCACTCTAGAGTAGTTGATGACTTGGCTGCAATTTGATTGGATATCTATCAAATTTAACAATGATAAAGTAAAAAAACAGAAGGTTGTATTATACCTGCTGAAGTATTGCATCAAAGCCTTGACTAGTTCCTCAGCGTCACCTTTCCCTAAAAGAAGCTTTCGCCTCTCAATTTCAAGGTGTGCCAAGTGGGGACATCTGACAGAATCATTACTGGTTTCTGCCATTAGTTTCTGCACAAAGGTTTCAGCATTTGATAGGCGGGTATCTAACTGCACACACAACTGGCACAGGTCAAACACTGTAGAAAGAATAGCAATGAAGCACTTCTTGAACAGGGAACTACAATGACATACTATTTCATCTGACAGCTGCATATTTGTGCGCTCTATAGATTTTGATGGATCAGATGCATCGTTGTCAGTTCCCATATTCAAGATACTATCATCCTCCAACATACAGCCAAGGTACTTCATGAAACATTCCCAGTCATCAGGACTACCAAAGAAAATGAAGAAAAATGTTTAGAATAAGTACTACAGAGGCAAGAGCAAATATAAGGAAAAATCTATAACTTCACAAGGAAATGGTTATCAAAAAATACTAGCATTCTTGTCTTAAATTATGTACACTTTCAAGCATGCTGCATGACTTTTTTCATGATTTTATATAGTTTATTTGTAAAGACTTGTTGAATCTTCTAAAATCTCGTAACATCGGTGTATTGAAATTTCAAAGAACGTCGGTTTTAAACAAGCTTTAATTTGAATCTTATTTCCCTTAGTTTGTAGTCGTAATCTTATTTGGAGTCATGCAATATAAATTATGTCAAAGAAAGTTCCCCGTGCATTTTAATAGAATTAAAAAATACCCCCACTCATGTTTCACTATCTTCTATTACAACCGCTTCATTTTTTGCCTGTTTATTATTCATGAAAAAAGAGCTTTTAATCATCACTTACAAAGGGAAAAGGTACCATGAAAAAGGTCCTCCTTAAATTATCATCTCATGCTCATGTTCAGATAGGAGTAAAAACTAATAAATAAGTAACCACATGAGGTGCAACTATTTGAAGAAAGGTGAATGAATAAGAGAAGTATTACCAAACCTTATTTTAGAAGTAAAAGTAAATTAAACTTTGAACATTTAGCAATATTCTTAATTTCACCAGAGTGATGTTAACTCCACAAAAAGTAAGAGCAAAGCAACACAATTTTTAAGGCCAAATAGTGCTTACTTAGACTCCATTTGGATCTAGATTTCAGAGGTAAAATATGCCAGGATAACCTTTTCCTCCAAAGGAAAAAACATTTAAATAGATAATTCATAGTGACATTTGTCCATTTATACATTTACTTGTTTTCATTTTTCATGATATCCAACTGTACTCAAAAAAAAGATTGAATTTTTCTTTATTGTTAAAAAAGTTTTCACAAATTTTGCCTTCCGTTTTCAGTATTTACAAATGAAATCCGAGATCCAAATAGAACTTCAATATTTTGACAGTTCTAAAACCATACCATAATTCTAGAACTTTCTGAAATATGCCTGTTGCAGCAGCATAATCCCCTGCCTTTGCAAAGAGTCTTCCCTGTAAACTTAAAGTTAAAGAATAAAAGCTTAATGGGAAGGTAAATAGGGCCTAATAGGAGAACCAAAATTTGAATTATCGAACCAAGTAAATACATCAGATAATGAATTGTAAAAGCATATAATCTTCAATTTCGAATTGTGGGAAATTTTTGAGGGAATAGTCACATTTGAAACGTTTTTCACACATTCTAGAGAATTTGCAACGCTATATGGGTTTTAAAAAGAGTGAGAATATAATTACTATTAAGGAAGGTAAAAGAGAGGAGGAAGTATGCAGAAAAAGACAAGATAGGTTGAATGAATGACATTCGGCCAAAATATCTTTGAATTCAGGCAACCGAACTTTTCAATTTGAAAATAAATAAGGAACTACAACTATAGATTGTTAAAAAAATTCGTTTCCCTTCTTTACTTAACTGTGCATGGCATACTATCACAAAATGAACCACTGTTGTGTTGTGCATGACCATGTAAGTATTAAGCAGGCAACAGTAATCTTTTCATTTATTCAGCTTCTCTTATTCTATTTCGAGTTTTTTTTGCTCGAAAGCAGACCCAAAGCGGTGGTGGTTCTGAAGTCTGAATGATTGAAGATATTCCATGTAAATACAAACTTTCAGAAGACAAACGAGGTTTCCTTAAGACTTAAAGAGTTAAAACTATAAAGTAGCTTTTGTTCAACTACATGTATCATAATGCATTGCTGATCACTTTTGAATTTAAGAATTTCACGATGTACACAAGAAAATTAAAGGATCAGTCTCTCAAGCATAAATAAGTTAACCATCCCCTCCCGCTAATGCTATTAAATATATGTGTGGTTTCGCAAAAATGCACAATAACCTTGACTTAAAGATACTAAGCCCAACTGAGAGAGCAAAATGATTGTGAGCTGTGCGCTTACATGGTGTATACAGGACAATTCAAGAAGCTGCTACAAACATAAATAAGTTAAATAGCCATCCAGCTTATAATCTTAGATGTATTTCTGTCTGTTGGAAATAAATGCACAACAATCATAGATGCTAAAGCCAACTGACAGCAAAACGATCCGGGGTATATCTCTGGGTAGATTGTTCAACCAGCAAGCAGATCAGTCCGGCAACATCTACTAACTAGCAAAGTATATGGCCATCTTCGTTGATAATCTTAAAAGCTGGACAACACTTTTTCTTCATGTTAGGGAGTTTCACACATTTTTTCTTCATGTTAGGGAGTTTTACAAAATCAAGCGTTTAAAATGTATTCTTCAAGATATTTAAATTTTATAGTAAGCACTTAAGAGCCTGTTTGATTATCATTAATTGGGAAAAAAAGAGTTTTGAATAGTATTTTTAGGAGAACGTATGGTTAAAAAGTAGGGAAAAATTTTTGGTATAAGTGTAGAATATTTTATCGTGTAAATGTGTGGTTGAAAATGATCCCATAGCAAACCATAAAATAAATTAGTGAGTGTCAAATAGGCACTAAAATGGGAAGAAGGCTTATACTTCATTTATATATATATATATATATATATATATATATATATATCTTTTTTTTGGTAAAATCAGCAGGCATACATCTTCTTTGAATATAACGGTTGAAAAGAGAGTAGTTCCTTCCTGATAGAAAATTTGACTGGAAAATTGTTATTCTCGTCATAGGTTTTATGTGATTCAATCAAGTTTAATTTTAGCAATAGAATATGTAGATATGTGAGATATTATTTAATACTAGTCTTTGACACGTGCGTTGCACGAATTTTGTATTTATTGTATTTTTATTATCGTCAAAATTGTAGATTTTTCAAAATTGGTTGAAGATTCGAAATATTTGGTAAAATCTAATCATTTGGTTCATTACATTAACGCAGGATGCATGGAGATTTCTTTTTCGTTTTATATTTTTTTCCTCATTTATTTATTTTTTATTTGTTTTATTCATATTATAAATATTTTTTTTTGATTTAAAATACTTTTTAATTCTTTTTTCTTTATGAAAAAACTTAATTTTTTTAATTTTAATTAAAAAATATTTATACTGTAAGAAAACACTGCAACACGCAATTTTCATACCTCCCAACAAATTTAAAAATAAAGATAGTATAAGACAGAAAATATTTTACAAAAAGTTACTTGTAAGTAAAAAATTTGAAAAGAAAATAATTAAAAGGAATTTTAAATTGAAAAAAAAATTTATTTGTAACGTAAAACTACGATACTGATTTCTCTTGACACCATATTCATATGTATTTATATTTTGTACTTCATATATATTTAATATTTATTTTATGCTTGTGTTGAAAAAATAAGAATCTGAAAAAAAATTTGAAATTCGGTTTGAAAAGTGAATGTACGGTGTTCTGCATTCTCGGTATTTGTAAATGCAAAAATCGGTATATAAAAATACAGCAAGTTGCAAATACGGTAGGCAGCATATACGGTAAGATAAAAATACAGTAAATTATTTGCAAATACAGTAGGCTGCAAATACGGTAAGTTGCAAATACAGTAGGCAGCATATAAAATAAGGTGCAAAATACGGTAAGGTGTAAATACGGTAAGTTGTTTGCAAATACGGTAGGCAGCATATACGATAAACTGCCTACAAATACGGTAAGCTGCATATATGGATTTATAATTTGTTATAAATGTATAAAATTTATTTAATATTGAATTTCTTAAGT